GATGCCTTACACCTGATCCCTTCGACACCTCGTGGTTGCATAGGCTGGTGTGCTTCTTCCATGTGGGCTTTGTTGCTTCTGAGCTTGATGGCCGCTTGATTACCTTCAAGCCTTTAAGACCCCAGACGCTATACTTTTTGATAGCCGGGCACCATCAGCTTTCTTCACCACATTTGCTTATGCACCCATTTGTCTTCAGTGATCCGTTCGACACCCCGTGATCACACAGGTTGATATGTTGTTCCATGTGGGCTTTGTTGCTTCTGAGCTAGATGGCCGCTTGTTTACCTTCAAGCTTTTAAGACCCCAGACGCTATACCTTTTGATAGCCGGGCACCATCAGCTTTCTTCACCACATTTGCTTATTCACCCGCTTTGTCTTCAGCGGTTGTGTCGGGAAGGTGAGCATCATAGAATGCCAATTTACTAGAAGAAAGTATTCTTGTGTTGAGGGAGTACTTGAGTGGAAGGAGCCTATTTCTTAAGGTGGCAATGGCAACATTCAGTTGAGTACTGGACAGCTAAATGCAAGGCCAATGGTTCAAGTTCACCAGTTACTCTGAGGGAAAACGAAGAAGCTGTTTGAATCCATAAAGATTTACGTCCTCTGAAACGCACAGAGGGTCTCTATTAGTGGGTATATATGCTATAGCTGTTGTGATAAAAGCAATGTCATAAAGAAACGTTTAATTGGATACGGTGATCAGTGAGCACTCTATAGCAATGTATTTTTAACTTGATCAGAGAAAGCATTTCGCAAGCACAGACAACTATGTACCTACAATGGTAAACTTTATTCAGATAACTAGAAAAGCATAAAAATCATTAAAACAAGGCCACTACTCTGAGTCACCTCTGACTCACGGCCGCAAGCCTGCAGGACAGAGCACAAGTGCCCCACAAGAGGTCCAAAGCTGCACGTCTTTCCAGGAGCAGACTGCAGAGCAGCTGGTGAGCTTGGACCCCTAACATTTCAGTTAGCAGCCGGGAGCAGCCGTGCCACCAAGACTCAAGAAACTACAGATGGGCCCAGTGTGACCCTCCATGTCTACCACATGAACTCATCTCCCACATGCAAGTCAACTTTGAAAGGCTGTGGATGAAGCACGTGGCCCTTCCATTCTAAGCATCCATCTTCTTAAGAGTCCCTGCATTAAGGCAACAGAACCGAGAACTAAAGCCAAAACAAACATTCTGAAAGTTCTTGGACCAGGTCATAAGATTAATGGGATGTTAAAATACTTTTCATTTTTCAAAACACATGACTTTGTTTCTGCATGCTTTTGTGGTCAAAATAAATCTGGGGATGGAAAATTAGCAAGCGAAAGCTTTCTACAACTATACATTTGTTCTTTCTCTTCCTTTCCTTCCTTCAGTCTACTGAATTTAAATGATCAAATTAACTGAACACACAACAGTAGCTACTTGGCCACAAACACAACAAGTCAGGGTCTATTATATTTCCTATTGAATACACAACCCCAAATTCTCATCTCTCTTCCTTAAATAGACCAACTCAGTATGCACAATGTATCTGTTTCAAATACATGTAGTATGACTCCATATATCAAATGAAATCCACTGCCAACTCATCAATTCTGACTCACGTTGGCCCTACATAGAGTTGCCAAGGCTGGAGATCTTCATGGGTACAGATAGTCTCATCTTTATCCTGCAGAGTTGCTGGTCGAGTTTGAACCGCTGATCCTGTCAGCATTCCAGTGCTTACCCAAAAGTCCCACCTGGGCCCCTGAAACATCAAATAGTTAACAGGAGCACCCTCACCAAGGTCATTTAGTTCATTACTTCACTGCATCCTCCACAATGACCCATTAGATAGGAACGATGACCTCTGGTCTACAAGCTGGAACTCGAAATGTACCTGCAGTCACTGTGTTATGGAAGTGAGAAAATGGCAGGGCCAAGATTCAACTACTCTTTCTGTTCCCTATAAGATCTTTCATAATTCAATTCTCATGATGTCTAATCTCACTAGAGCATCTAAAATCTTTACCAACTGAGGTATTGCCATTTTTACTAAAGTGAAAATCGATTATTGCAGGCGCAGTTAGGTTTAAATTTAACACCTTATCATGTGATCACCCTTTTGACATATTTTAAATTTCTTCTAGTTTTGTTCTAGTTGAATGTTTTCTGTTTTATTTTGTCATTGTTGCTGGTTTATTTTTTGCCTTTACAAATGATTTCCTGTATGTGAAATCCAGGATACATAAATTTATAAACATAGTAACTGGATTAATGGCTTTTGGGGGGTACAGTGAGGGGGAAATGGGGAGCTACTAACAGTAGGAACAAGAATGAAGAAAACGTTCCAAAATTGATTGTGGTGATGACTGTAAAACTATCCTTAATAAGCTTGAACTACTGAACTGTATGGTTTGTGAACTATATGTCAATAAAATTGTTTTTAAAAAACAAGCAAAAGTGAAACAAACTCATCACAGCCAACACAGCCCTTTATCTCAGTCTGCGGCCAGGTAACCTCAATTCCTTCAGCCATCACGCAGACAGCATCACTTAACACCCCGTGAGCACACCGCCCATGGAGTATATCGTACCTCCTTTTCAAATGAAGAAAGACGGCACCTAGAATTAATCAAATGTTCTAGGAACAGCCCAATCACCTCAAAATAACGAGAAGAAGTCAGCTATACTATCTTGGACATGTTCCTAAACGTTATTAACCAACACGCGAATCCCCACCATCAAGTCGATGCCAACTCACAGCGAGCCCACAGGACAGGGTAGAACTGCCTGCCTGCCTGCCCGCCCTGTGAGTTTGCGAAACTGTCCCTCTTTACCAGAGTAGAAAGCCCTGCTTTATTAAAGCAACCTCAAATTTCTTTATTAATTTAGGCTGCCATATCCTTAATAACTCTTGCTCGGTAATATTTGAGGACAATTATTCTTTAATTCTTGCGTTAAAGGCATATCTTGCTATAAGATAATCCAAGTTCCATTACAGATCACCTCACATCTGTTCCGGACCAACATGAAAATTGTTAACAGAAGCATATAATTTTGGGAGGGGCTTCCAATGCATTGTGTTTACACTCTGCTAGTCTATTAAGCATGTAAAAACACTAGGACAAGAGTTTGAAATACTGAGAGAATACCAAACTGTGGCACAGAGACATGAAATGACCATGTGCTGTTGGTAAAATGTTGCTGACAGACTTGCTTGTTGAAGAGTTACCACAAACTTTCAATGTGTTTAAAACAAAGGCAAAAATAAAATCCAGTACCTGTAGGGTGCAATAAAGCAAAGTGCAACAAAACGATCTATGTCTGTACTGCTAAGCAATGGAGTCCTTGAGTTCAAGTGCATGTCATTTACTGTGGTTAAATTTCTAGGTAGCTTTTAGGATTTGCACTGGTCATTCAAAATCATTAGCTATGTTGCATTCTTAAATTTTTTACTTAAGTGTCTTGACATGCTATCATTTCCCCCACAAATATCATTAATAAAACGTTAACCAGGAAGAGCTCTGAAACGTGTTCCTGGAGATCTCTGTCCAAGGTACCAGGGTACCTTCACGGGTTTTCACTGAAGACAGTCCCCGGTTCATAAGGTCAGTTCCTAACTCTGTCTCTAAGAATTTGTGGGTCAGTTGGGAGGGGTGCCTGTGGTTGTTAGTTAGCTTTATCTTGGTGTAAGAAAAGGCTGGAAAGCTTTCCAGTTATTTGAAATCCACGCAGCAAGTGGATGAGTTTGGGAAGAATCTGCTGCGTGAAGGGGGGGGGGTGTGTGTGCAATCATTTCACAATAGGACAAACTGAAGTAAACCAGATTCTGAGTCTTAATCGTACGGCCTAGCTCAAAGGTGGTGATGGCTTGCTCAAAGTTGGCAGCCAACAACGCTGCTTGGAATGGGGACAGCTCTCCATGGTCCTGCCACTAATGCTATCTCCCGTACCAGGTTCCTGGTACACTCACGATATCTGTCAAGTGCTTCATTCCTTGCGGTCACCCCATAGTTCTTCCCATGCTAATTACATGGCAAAGCATTTAAACGGTAAGGGTTCAGGTCTATTTGTGTTTCCCTTCATAGCCATGACAGACTGCTTCAAACTGGTTCGGTGCCCTACTTAAAGGACAGGGAAGAGTTTTATGTACGGTGGATGTGAAAATCTGTTATATCAGTTAGACTGTTGCCTAACCAAACAATTATTTAATTGACATTTCTTCCTATTATCCTCAAATTCCAGGCTTTGTCAACTATAGATATTAAATCTTACTGCATGACTTTAAGACCCGCATGTATTACACCTAGTGCACGTCCAATAAACAAAGAGGGAACAAATGAAGAGACAAGTGATCTGCCGACTGCGTGGTCTTAAAGAAACCATCTTATATTAATCACTGCTTCTTCAGTGGCACCTCACAGAATTGGACTCTGAAACTTAACTGTGACAAATGAAGGAAGAGTCTCATATAATGATAAGAACTGAAATATAGCTCCTTGTTTAGGGATAAAAATGTACCATTTGGAGAGGGGGGAGGGTGCACAGCAAATTTTTTTTAAAGTACCATTTACTGCAAAAAATTGTAACATTTCAAATTAGTACTACTCTGGTCAACAAAGATAAATTTTGGATTTATTTTTAGTTATTAAAAATCTTAGATTTCTCATATATATAAACAAATCTCAAGTATGTATGTTATTAGATTGAATATGTTATATAAAAACAAAGTATTTCTGATTAAATATTCACATGTGCAATCAAATTGACCTATATTCTAAAATCAGAGTGATTTTGAACAAAAAGAAGCCTGGTGCTCAGTGCACAATCTCCTCGTTTCATAGGTAAAGGGCACTGAGGCTTTTAAGTCTTAGAGTCAAAGAGGTTGAGTGATCAAGCCCCTAAAAACGCCTTCTGGCAAAGGCTGGGCACAGAAGTTAGATCTAGTTAGCTCCTGCTGTTTCACAAAAGGCATGATGTCAAAAATTAAAAGAACAGCAACAGAACTTTCTTACCAACTGGACTTCACCAAAAGCACCTCTCCCAATGACTTTCACAACGTCGTAGTCTTCTGCCTTCATCTGCAAACCTCTGATTTTTTTCACAATTTTCTCATCTACAATAAAAAGACAGTATTTGTGGCAATCATATCTAAACCGTGTTCTCAATAATCACTATATTTATAAACAAACTTTATGTTAAGAACCTAGACTGTTTCCAATTACCCTGTTGCTTTTAAAAGCTGCTGTTTTAAAAAATCTTAAGATACCAAATAATCTATCAACAAACAAAAATTCTCTATAGTTTACTAACACATGTAAAAACCCGCATTTTATCAAAATGTTAAGTTACTGTTTTGACTCTCTGCTTGGCAGATTCAATAATAATTGACAGAATGATAACCCAAAAAATCCTTAATCATGACCCATATTTTAAATTACTTCCAAATGTCATGTTGGTAGTGAATTTTAACAGTCCCCATCTATGAAAAATGTAACTATAGAAAAGATTGTTTAATTAAGAATATATCCAAAGCTCTGACAATTTCAAATTAAAGAGTTTATATTGATGACAAATCGAAGGATTTATTGTGATGATATAAAGTATATCATACTGTCTTTGAGAACGTTTTAAAGTTTTGGAATTCAACTTCATTTACTATTTTATTATGTCATCATCAGCATACAAATATTTATGTATTAAGAATTAGCACCTATACTAATTGCCATTACAATGTTTTTCATGAACTGCACTGAAATATCTGCATTTACAAACACAGGATTCTTAGATCTCTGGATCATGTACAGCAATCCCTTAGAGTAGCCAGCCTTGATTTAAAACATCTCTTACAAATACTGGAATCTATTCTGAAGTAGCTAAGTAGTCTAAACAGATATACATTTTGAACTTTACCCCTACTTTACACCTTACTACTATTTGGTTCTATAGTTTTGCTTTGAAAATAAAAGATCTGAGTCTTTAAATGTAAAAATAAGTATACAGTAAAATAAATATACATAAATAAAATAACCATTTGTGAACTATAATATCAATCAAATAGTAATCTCTTATCAAAAGTAAGACTATGTGACCAGATATGAAGTTTAAACACAACTTACATCTATTTAAGAAATTATCTATATTCTTGTTTTTCCTCAAAGCAGGAAAATCCAAATCAAGGACCAAGGAATTCAAGCCATCCTGTTTCACAAAAAAAAAAAAAAGAGAAAGAGAGAGAGAGAGAGAGAAAGAGAGAAAGTTGTTACAATTCCCAAGCATTCCAAAAGTGTCTTTTTGGATGTTGTTCTCACTGAATAAATGTTAGGTTATTTTGATGAGACTGCCCAGAAGCAAGCTCCATTAGTTTTCCAACCACTACCAGAGAATGTTAGCGCTCACCCTTATCGTGTATTCTTGATCAACTCCAGCACTACCAGATACTTGAAGATGCCAGCAATATGGGCTGTGTCCGTTTGTTTTGCCCTCTGCAATCCACGCCATTCTCGCTACACTGCAGAACTGAGAGGCAGTCATGATCCCAGCACTCCTACACAGTCCTGTCTGCCATATTTCTTGAACTGAAACCTGGTTGGCTCTTTTCTGATGGTTTTGTTGCCTCCTGAAGCACTCTTTGAAAAAGGCATGGGAAGAAATGATACAGAAGTAGAATTGCCTTTTCTCAAAGAATTTTGTTTTTTAAATCCAGACTTAGAAATTTGAGCTGCATCCTCCTTGTCGCTACTATCTACTGACCTCCACCTCTGCCGCTCTGTGATGACTTAACGTTGCTTATTGTTGTTAGGTCCGTCATCACTCCATGTGCAGAGACTTAAATAATGGTTAAGATGTTAGGTTGAAACCCTGGCTCCATGCACCTGTTCCTTGGGCAAACTGTCTGCGCCATAATTTCCTTCTCATATAATTAAATACACATAGAGTGGAGGCTTCAAAAAGTGTGTGGAAAATGGAATTAAAAAAAAAACTTTCCAAATGAGGAGCTGATGCCAACGGCTTAAGCGGAGAGCAAATGTTCTGTGAATGATGAGGGCAACAAATAAACAAATGCGCTTCACACAATTGATGTATGTATGGAGTGTGATAAGAGCTTAAAAAAAAACTTTAAAAAAAAAAAACCAACTTTTCCACAAACATTCTCAGACCCCATATGAATACACATATACACACACCCACTAGGTAAAGTCAAAAAGTATTGTTGCAAAAATCATAGAAACCTTTGTAAAAGTTTCAAAATGTGAAACTACTATTTTCAACATGGCCTCCATCGAGGTACATACACTTCAGAAGACAGTGATTCTCTTTCATCTTTCCAGGAAGAACTCTTGGCTCTTCCATTTGTGCCATGTCAGATGGGCAATTTGGGCATCCTCGAGGGACTGAAATTGTGTTAATTGAAATGATCTTTGAATCTGGGGAACAACAAAATCTGAAGGGGCGAGATCAGGGTTGTAGAGTGGGTGGCTTAAATTTTCCCAAAGCAATTCTCATAGGTCAGTCTTTGGGACATTGGCGAAATAAGCAAAAAAGTATCCATGGAACTTTCCTGGCCTTTTGCTCACTGACAAAGTTTTAAATTTCCCTAAAACTTCTTCAAAATAAGCCCCTATGTTCACCCTGTGTCCTTCAAGAAAACCAATCACAACTACTCTGGAATTTCAAGATATGATCACCATCACCTTTGAGCTGACCACGCTACCTTGACCTGTGGCTCAGCAGACGCCATTGCTTTCTGTACTTGAACTCTTACTTACTAAAAACTCTTACTTTTTGTGCTTGAACTCTTACAATTTTATTTTCTATTTATTTTTTTAAAAATAATCCTTTTATAGGGAGCTCATAGAGCTAGAACAATCCATCATTCAATCAGGTCAAGCATAATTGTACAGTTGCTACAGTTTCCAAAAATTTTCTTTCTTCTTGAACTCCTTGATATCAGATCCCTTTATCCCCTCCCTCCCTCCCAAACCCTACCCCCAGGCACCTTTATTGGTATTAATATTATTATTATCTTTCCCCATCCAATAAATTCATTCCCCTACAATTCTGCTGCTCGCTCCTCTCAAGTGGGGTTATACACGCATCCTTGCTATCAGTCCCCTACCCCTACCCCTACCCCGTCCCCTTTCTGTATTCTCAAGGAGATATTACTCCCATTACTGTCTCTGAAGGGTTATCTATCCTGGCTTCCCTGCATCAAACAATTTTAAAGTACACAAATGAACCTACACAGGTGTGACAAGATTACCAACTTCATATGGAAAGGGAAGAGAGCCAGAATCATAAAGACCTCCTAAAGAAGAATAAAGTGTGTGGCTGGCACTACCTGACTTTAAAACTTATTATATATCCACAGTTGTCAAAACAGCATGGTACTTGTATAATGATAGATATTCAGACCAATAGACAAGAACAGAAAATCCAGAAATAAAAACAGCAGCATACAGACAACTGATACTTGACAAGGCCTAAAAAATTATCAAATGGGAAACGGATGCTAGAAAATGGTGCTGGAAATAAATAATAATAAATGGTGCTGGAAAAACTGGTTATCAACCTGCAAAAGAATGAAGCAAGACCCTTATCTCACTCAAAACACAAGAACAATTCAAGGTAGATCACAGAACTCCAGGTAAAACTCCAAACTATCAGGATCATCAATGAGAAAACTGGGACAAAGTTAAGAACCTTAGCACAGGGACTACATGGGCTATCAGAAATAGGGACGGATACACTCCCAGAGGAAGATAAAATAGAGAGTGGGACATACTAAAGATAAAACGCTGTGTACATAGAAAGACTTCATCAAGAGAGTAATGAGAGATCCCACAGACTGGGAAAAGTTATTTAGTAATGACGTATCAGACAAAAGGCTTATTACTAAAATCTACAGAATCCTGCAAACCCACAACAGGGGGAAAAAAAAAAAAGAAGAGCCCACGGAGGAGGTGGACATTAGACTTGAACAGAAATGTCACAAAGGAGGAAACTCAAATGGCCAAAAACATATAAGAAAATGTTCCCAATCATTAACCATCCAGGAAAGGCAAATAAAAACAACCATGAAATACCACTTAACACCCACAAAAATAGTCCAATTCAAAAAACAGCAAGTAGCAAATGTGGCAGGGTGAGGTAGGAACTCTCATTCAGTACTCATCGTCTTAGAGAAATGAACAGCCACTGTGGAAAGTGATCTGGCGAGACCTAAAACAGACAGAACTTGAGTTCCTTATGATCCAGCAATTCCACTACTAGGCCTATGTGCAGAAGAAATAAGAAACAGACCACGACCAGATATGTCTGCTCCCCAGTGTTCATCGCTGCACAGTTCACAATCACAAAGAGTTGGAAACAGCCTAAATTTCCATCAATGGACGAACAGGTTTTTAAAACCCTGGTACATACACACAATGGAATACTATGCATCCCTAACAAATAGTGATGGAAATATGAAACCCCTCACACTGAGTATACTGAGTGAAGTTATCCAAGCACAAAAGGTCAAGTACAAGATGAGTCCACTGAGGTTAGGTTCAAACAGCAGAACGAGCACAAGGGAAAATGCACATAATAGATAATTCCCAGACTGAGGACCAGATACTCCGGCACGAGTCACAGCAGACCCAATGATGCATATGTCATAGAAAAAACGCAGATCGTGCCTGTGCTGAGACATCTTTCTCCCTCCTCTCATAAGCTCACAGGGGGGTGGGGGGTGGAAAGATGGCAATGCGGGGGGCCAGGGCACTAATACACCCAAGGTAGGGGGTGGAGGGGGTTGTCTATGTCGCCATAGGAAAGGGAGGGAGGGAGAGCAGACTTCATCTCAGGATGCCAACCTTCGAGGACAGGCGAAGTTCCTGCTCGGAGCAGTTCATTCACAGAGAGCACTGCTGGGCAGGTCTCGGCTGGAGACATGATGTCCCCTCCCTGGAGGACAGCGCTGAAGACCCAGTTCAGGGAGAGCAGTCATTCTGACATGGGAGTGCAACAGACTGGCAATAAAGAGAAGGGGGTTGGGCTGATGGATTATCAAGCCCTGCTTGCATTTTAACAGAGATATCCATCTCCTCTGAGTCAGGATACCAGTAGGATCTGGAACTATTTGTATGGTCTTTCTCTCATTATTGGTGTCTCTCTACGCAAGACAGGCAAGAGAAGCAGTCCCAAGGAGGCAGTGACAGGACCGACAGCTGGGGGGAGAGGGGACCGGGGGTGGGGTGGGGTGGGGACACTGTTTTGATGAGACTTTTTGTCTTTTTGAAGGTGCCCTAGTGGTGTAGTGCTGTAGTGCTTTCTGCACTGGGCTGCCAACCCCAAAGTCAACAGTTTGACGCCATCAGCTGGCTCCACAGGAGAAAAATGAGGCTTTCTATTCCCATAAAGAGTTACAGTCTCAGAAACTCACAAGGGCAGTTCTACCCGGTCCCAGAGGATCACTCTGAGTCAGAACAGACTTCACCAGAGTGAGACTGAGTTTGAACAGTCTCAAAAGTCTCAGTGTATCACTGAGGAAATTGACAGAACTTATCTGCAGCCATTCACCAGTCAGAGTTTAAATATATTTTGTTTGGAATAAACCTGATTATATATGAATGGGAACATAGTAGCATTACTTACTGATAATAAAAATGTGTGTGAAAATGTCTCTCTTCGCTTTCAAAATGTGTCCTACTGCACATGCGTCCACATAAAAACGTGTATACAAATACTCAGAGCAGCAATGTTTATAACAGCCCAAATGTCCTTCAGGAAACAGGGTTTATATCCATACAATGGAATACTATTCATTCACATAAAATAAATGCTGATGTATGCTACACATGGTGATTCTTGAAACTTAGGCTAAGTGAAGTAAGTTAAACACAAGAAAAATTATTGTTTGACCCCAGTTATATGAAATATCTATAATAGGTAAATGTGTAAAAACATGGTTGCCTGGTGGTAGGGGTGTGGGGTCCAGGAGTGACGATTAAAACAAGGTACAAAATCTTTTTTAGGGATGATATAATGTTGTAAAACTGTAGTGACAGCCATACAACTCTGAAAATATACTTATAAAAAAACAACACTGGATCATGCATGTTACAAGTGAGTCTATCCCCATAAAGTGCCCTGACTCCACTCAAAGGATTAAATTTATATAAAATACTCTGCCTAGTCACCTGAAGCCAGGGGGCACT